TGATCATCAATTTGTCATTAATGTCTTTAACATCATCATCAGTTATTTAATCAGTATCATCACTGTAATCATGGTTATTATTATATTATTAACAATACCATTATCATTATTATTATTACGATATATTATTTGCTTTCTTTCATTGGCTATTTGCATAATTCTATTGCCGAGTATCACCCAGAGATCTGAGGCAATGAAACTTGTTTACATAGGCACGTACATTCACAGGGTTAGAACAAATTGTGGACGGTGCTGTTAAGGACATTTTATTATCATTATTTGTTTAAATTAATTAATTAATTAATAATTAATTTATTATTATATTATTATTATTAGATTATTATTATTATATTATTAGTCTTATCATCATCATCATCATCATCATGATTCATCATCAATCATCATCATCATCATCATCATCAGTCATCATCATCATCATCATCATCATCATCATCATCAATCATCATCATCATCATCATTATCATATCATTTATCATTATCATCATCCATCACATCATCATCAATCATCATCATCATCATCATCATCATCATCATTTTTGATTTCTTGTAACTTGGATTTCTGGAATTTGTCATGTACTTTGAAGCATCCTTCTCTATAAGCCCCAAAGTCTTCATATTTGGAAAGTTTATCAAACTACTTGGATGATACGTTCTTGTCTGCCGAGACTGTCATGTTTATTGCAGACATTTCTTGTCCTTTCACTATTATATCTCGCCTATCTGCCGGTATAGTTCAGTCTGCATTCACAACAAATTCTCATAAAATGATAACGTGATCATTTTCTGCCACAGAGCAAGGTTTGCACTCTCAACAGAAGGTTACGAAAGATAGGATAGTGTTGGTCCATGAAAATGTTGTCATATCTTTATACTCACTGTGCGTAAGAACCGAGCACCCTGATATCAGATGGTCTATTGTATCATCGTACTTGTCACAAAATCGACACTTTGTGTCTGCGCCATTGTCCAAGTTCTTTGATTGGTAATTTCTGGTAAAGAGGCTTTAATCTGAACAACTATGGTGAAGCCCTCTTGTTTCGGCGTTCAACCCTGCTCCTCGTAGCCATTGATATGTGTTTATTTTATCTACATCAGCTTCCTTGGTACGGAGTGGGCATTGGACATGCAGTGGCTTACTTTCCCCCAAGTTTCTCTGGTCTCATTTAGGCCCCATTTTTTTGGCTTTTATACATTTTGCTTGCTAGGTGGTTTCTAGACCCTCGCTGATACTGGTTTCTATATCCAGTTCTGTTACAAATTTATTACTCTATTTACTGATGCAATATATTCTTTCTTGATCATAGAGGGTTACTAATTGTAACATCCAGTCGTCGCTAGTTTCGAAATATTTTTGTAGTATAATTTTGCAATTTTATAGGATAATTTAAGCTAAACAAAGTCTCTATACCCTTCCCTTCTAGGTGCAGAAAGTCGGTTAACATTTGATATTGGTTGTGGCATCCTGTTGCATGTTAGCAGTTCACAGATATTTTCTGTCAATTCTTTTTATGTCTGATAACGCTTTGTCACAACTAGTATTGCAAGGTTATTTATTGCTTCTATCCTGTTTGCTGAGTTCAGTTCTGTTTTTATTACTCTTTTTAACATTCTTAACCTCTTTAACCCTCTCCTTTTTAACCTTTGGTTGTTGTATCTGGTCATTTATATTTTCTTTAAACGTTTTCAGTAGTGTTCTTTCAACACAATCAAATAATATTTCTTTGGATTTCTCATGTTTTCTTTAACAAGTAATCGAATGGTGTTTCTGAAGTTTGTTATTCTTGATTTTTATTTGTTTTCATTTGCAGTCATTTTGTTTCTGCTTCCAATTGTTTTTGTCACTTCTTATGGTGTTGCAATGTATAGGTCTTTTAAAAGCTCATTCTCTTAATATCAGTTTTTTCTTTACCTTATCTCCGGGGGCATAACTAGATGTTTGGAGGACCTGGAAGCTAGGTCCTGTGAGAGGCTCCCTGTAATTTGTAAGGTTTGATAAAAAACAAAACAATAGCAGAATCCGTGAAAATTCCATGGAACAAATATAAGACGTAATTCTCTCTCCTTCTCTGACCATCTCCTTTATACCTTTTACCTCCCCTCTTGCTCTACCTTTTTCTCTGCTATACCACCCCCTTCTACCTCCAAAATAGTTTTTATATCACTCCTCCCCTCTCTTATATATTAAGTCCTATATCTGCTCACTCCCACTTCCTTCTTTTCCTCCCTAAACTCTCTCACCTAATATGATAAGAATAATGATAATAGAGTTAGAATAGGATTCTTGTAGATTTGTAGAACGAGCACACGTGCATGTTTGAGTATGTGATTCTTTACTCTTCATGTTGTGAACTAATACCCCATTCTACAGCAAAATGCGTCTGTAGTCACATGGAGTGTGCTTTCAGGTGGAAAATGTATGTACAATATATGATCTGAACCAAAAAGAATATTTTGTTTTACCTGTGAAAATCCTATTTAATATTACAATTTGCCCCTAATAATGTGCTCTCCTTGTTCAGTCTCATCATAGTCTCTGACTAGAGAATCCATTTTTATTATCTAATGGCTACACAATCATATAAAGATATATATATGTAATCTATTTTGTTCTTTAATGTTGGGCATCATTTGAGTGCCGTTCCCTTGTGGGCCCAGAGGAAGTGAAAATCATTCTGCCAACCTCCTTCCCCTCGTTACGTACCTCACTGCTTGTTATCATTCCTGTAGTAATTGCTTGCACAACCAGCTTTCTATATTACAGGGAGCCCTTTTTCTGACAAAGAACAGAGCTGGGCATTGCATTTGCAATTCAGTTATTCTGGTGGTGAGATTCCAATCTACGCATGAAGTATGTTTGAATAATGTATGTAAGTCTTTTTGTTGTATACCTAAAAAAAAAAAGTATTTGCACGGGTTTAGAATTGCTTCTACTTGATTTTTCCAACCACAGTAGTTTATCATTTTTGCCAGTGTACAGGCTCTTTGGGATAGTTTTCAAATCTCTCCATTTTAACTGCTTTATTTGTATTTTCTTAAATTTGGAAGAGAATATGCAGTACTGCTCCCTTTCTTAAAATATGTTGTCCCCTATAGTTATTCTAATATTTGTTAATTTGTGTCAAAGGTACATTGGTCTGTACATCAAAATATCCTTTTCAGTGTACTTGTCTTTTTGGTTTCTATTTTTTTCTCTGTAGATGGTAAGTACTATTTTCAAGAGTTTGAGATAGGTCCATAAACTGAACAGATACCATTCTTTCTAAATGGAGGAATCTTTATGGGTGGGTACTGTGTTGCACTCTAATTGTGCTGTGCTTTGGTATCAACATATCGTACTGCACATCAGGATTACATACCATTGGGGATGTCCTTTGACCTAAATCTAAATTGGATTATTTCTTGTTTGGACTGATTTTATAATTCCTTTAAAATCCTGCAGTGCCAACAACTAAGGCCAAACTTTTATTTTATGAACAAGATGATGGTGCTGACCCATTTTCTTCTGGCCACAGAGAATGTGGTTATAATTACTACATGCTAAATACTATATCATATGTAATTCTTATTACACATATATTAAGGTTAATGCTTAATGGTTAATTGTTAATAAGCAAAATAATTGTGCTAGATCTCAAACATCATGCAGCACTATAGGACGGCATAGTATCAAAAAGGGTAAAGAGGGGGTATTAATGATAAGGTGTGATGCATCAACAGTTGTTCAGCAGTAGAATGATAGTGGAAAGGGTAAAGATGGGTAAAAGTGGAGAGGATGAGAAAATGGGTTGAGGTAGCTATAAGCAAAGAGGGAATTAAATCAAGTGAAGGATATGTATGCATCTGGAGAAGGAAAACAAGTTGTCAAATGAGAGAGTGTGGATGTCGAACAGGTTAGGAATTTGGGAAAAGGGGGATAGGTGAGGGAAAGCAGATGTACTGGCTCCAGTTCCACATATTCTGGACAACAGAATGTGTGGAACTGAAAGAGGAACATTACATAGGAACATTGGGGTGGATCAGAACATGACATTAGATAGGATTGCACATGGCGTACGTAGCCAATATGCAAGCGGGCAAGAGCTGTCCCCTAACATCTGTTCTGACCAAGAGATTGATGGTTTTACAGTATGTAGTTTATTGGTGAGAAGACTTGACCAGAAAGATTGCCAGTGGGCATAAAGGGGGGGGGGTTACACATATCATATATATGTGTAATAAGAATCCTCCCATGAAGATTCCAACCATCACCCTAGAAATATATATTTGTTAATATTACTAATGGATTTACTAATATTATTGATGTGGAAATCATTAAAATCTTTATGTCACTTCATCTGTGTTCTGAACTATAGAAGTCTTGCATAAAGAGGTCTTATTTTCCAGTGGCAGTTACTGTTTATCACCCACAAATGCTTTTTCTTTTTCTTACCTGGATTTTTTGCGTGTGTGTGTTTTTTGTGTGATTTTTTGGGGGGGTTCAACAACAAAGAGTCAAACCATATCTAAATCAATTTAAAGAAAAGATGATCTTGCATGTTGTTTCTCACTAAAATACACATAAATCAATATTTAAATAAATAATCTATGTGCATTTCATCTACTCAGGTCATGTGGCTGACAGATTAAATAAAATATTTCGTTTTTTCAATACTTCTTTCCATAAAGCAAGTATTGATTTTTTATTAATAAATCCCGATTTCTTTAATAAGAAGTAAATCTTATTCGCTTAAGAAAACGGAGGCCATTCTGAGTTGCATCCTCACTGTACTGTTTCTTTGAAAACAGTATTATCACTAATAACTTCAGTGTAAGTGGTATAAAATGAATGGCGATAAACCCTTGAACAGTGACAAAGAAAAAAATCAATACCTTCACCTCTTTCTTTCTTTCTTTTTTGGAATTTTTGATTATATCCTTAATAAAGCACTGGAAACTTCAAGGTTTGCTTTGCTATATATGTAAAATAATAAAAATAAAAATGCAATATCAAATACTTTTATCATCAAACTACAGCACAAGATTATTTTAAATAGCTATAAAACTTTTTCTTCTTCTCTTTGTAAAATGTGTTTATGGCAAGTTTTCATATGGACTTTACATATCCATTTATACATATGTATATAAAAAATTCAAATAGCTTAGAATACAAGCCTGGTGTAGCAATGAACACAATCGATTTCTTAAGCATATCACATCTAGCCTAGTATTGTGACAATGAAAAAATATTGTGGAAAAAAGAAAAATTACATTTAGTTTCGTACAAAAAATGAGCTTCGAGAATACATATACAAAGGAACATGTATACATGTATATTATTTATCCATTTTATCTTTACTTCTTCACCTGTTACCCCTTTGTTGACTCCATCTGGTGTTCTAAAATATATGTTGCATTCCTTCCTTCTGTTTCTAACTGTAATGGTATGCATGGAAAAAGCCTCTCTATCTATAATGATCTTTCTGTCTTTGCCCTCTAATATCTAATCTTTTCTTCCTTGCTTATTTCCATATTTGTAAGTGCCTGATCTTTAATGTGCAAACTATCTCCTGCATCTCAAAACTAAAAAAGTACAGCCTAGTTCTTTTACATCCTCCCAGCCCTAGTACAAAGCATTCATGAGTCACGTTAGCTGCAATGGGGGAAATGAGAAGGAAACTTTGACTCCTATCTTATTTACAACATGACACTTTACATATTCATATTATTCTATCCTCACAGCTGTTGGTTCTCTCCTACTCTCCCAAAGTAAAGATTTACTTAAAGCTATGTCTACCCTTAGAGACGGGATGAACACACAAGCAATGCAAGGCCATGATAATGAAAGAAGAAAATTGTATCCAAGGACAAAGGACATCAATTCAAGCATAGAAAAAAATTGAAGTCATGTTGCTGGATAAAAGATCTGAAAATTGTTCATGCATCCCCTCCTCCCTGACAGAGATATTAGTGTATGTTCTAAGATGCCAAGACATGGTAAATTATCATCTTTGAAATTACAAAAAATCGTAGAGCTTTCACTTCCATAGGGAATAGTTTTTTTCTGATTTTCTTCTCTTTGTCTTCGTTGCAGTCACCCCACTCGCAAGATGGCATACGTTAAAAGACCTGAAAGACATTCACTATTAGAAATACTGTGAATATATCTTGCCAACTTAAAAAATGAAAATCATAATAAAATTGTTAATCAATAGCAGAGACAAGCAAAGAGAGATACAGAACTGAGATATACTTTATATCAACAAAAGAATATACATATGAAAAAATATCCCAGTGTTCATGATTTTAATGCTTTAGTTGTATAAAAATATTTCATTGGCACCTGTGCTGAATAATTCTAATGAGAAGACTTAACCAAGATAAAGCTTTCCCTTCACATTTTATAATCTAAGTTCTTGACCACTAATAAGTGCCCTGATGACAATTAACAGTTATCTTTAAAGCCCCAGTTATCAACCACCATCACCCCGTCCTGTCACTGATCTAAATCATCAACAGCTATTCTCATTAGACCAAGAGCCGACTCAAACAATTAATCCAACCTGCACCTTACCGAGCACATAGGCGAGCACAATTTTAATGTTGGCATTGAGGTGGAGGTACTGTGGGATGCGTGTTGGGGTCTGGTCACCTTCTGTGGGCATCAGTAGGCCTAGCAGGCAGACCACAGCGGCACTGACCAGGACCAAACTGGGACCCGTGTTTCCTGGGAACAGAGAAGAGTTGAGAGATGAAACTGAAGATGAATAAATGAAAAATTTCAATTTCTATCTACATCCTTCCCAGATAACATCTGCAATTCTGCTCTTTTCTTTGGGTGTGAATAGTACGGTTAACCCATTGGATCCAGTTGCTTCAAGACAATCACATGCCCTAAAACACAGGCATTAGACTTACATGAGTGGCCACTTTGATGGGTTCGTGGCTTGTAGGCCAGGAGCACGCTCACACTCATATGCAGTGATAAGACTCTATGCCAAAGTTATTGTTTCTTTTTATGCATAAGCGTTTTTAGCTTTTATGGACATTTTTCAATGTACATATTTGTCATTTGATTTGCTTTATCCAGATGGTAATGGACTGTTTTCCTTGTACAGACTCAACATCATCCCTTTAAGTACTCCATACCCCAGTGCAAGAAAAAAAAAAAAGTAAAATTTTGTTATTTGTGTCATATATTTTTTTTCTTAATTTCCAAATTTTTGTAATATAACCTGTGATGCCAGGAATAGAAATAAAGTATCTGTGAGCCATGACTGGGAGAGCTGGCGCTCTTCCAATCATTCCTCACTTGTTTATTAATGGAAATAATGTAAAAGCCCCTTTCTAAATGCCCAGTCTTCAGCCAAAATGCTCACGACAGCAAGTTTGTGTCACCTAGGCCCACAGACAGATTTTCTCATAATGGCATGTTCACATGACCCACCCCCTTAAAGCCAAATTTTTCATGACATGATGGTCACATCATCCTGATCGAAGGGG